AGTAACCAACATTGATACAGGTTCTGATTGTTTGGAATCCTTACCTCATATTCCTTTTCTATTGCATCCATCCAGGATAGAACAGTGCATGTAGACGAAATTCTAAACGGTTTTATTAAATAAGAAACACAGAGCCAAATACAGAGTTAAAAGCCCAAGAGATCACAGCACTAGTGAAGTCCAAGACTACCTTTTGCTTACCACTAGCTGCCGTCCTTCCCCTGAGAGACCTTCCTGTGTGTCTTGCATTGTATTGCTTTCCTGTTCTGCCTTCTCATTGGTTCTAAGCCCAGCCACATGACTCCTCATCACTGCCTGTCTATACAGACCTACTGGTCCCTATGGTTGATACTGAGATTAAAGGCTCGTGTCACCATGCTTGGCTATGTTCTCGACCACACAGAGACTCTGCCTACCATGTGATTGGGATTAAGGGCGTGGGCTACCACCGCCTGACTTCTATTCCTGGCTCTCAGTTAATGACCTCTGATCTCCAGGCAAACTTTATTTATTAACATACAAATAAAATCACATTTCAGCACAATTAAAATATCAGCACAAGTGCATTCAATAGTCTCGGGTTCCTGTAGACTACAACAGTGCCTTAGCTATCCCTCATCTTTATGCCCTTGGCTCTTCATTTGGGACTTGTCTTTTATAGCTGGGCTTTGGGGGAAGGTCAGAGTGTCATTTTCATCACATCAAGCAGCCTCACATCAACATGCTGCATGAAAGTGGGTGTGGTCTTCAACCTCTGGCTGGGGTTAGATTAGATTGGATTAAATTGATTAGATTTCTCCACAGGAAAGGCTACTCTTTCCCTCTTCCTGTTGTACTTTTTGGGAGAAAAAATCTCATGTGTGCAGCCCACACAGAAAGTAGTTGGGAATTGGGCTCCATCTCCAATAGTTACGTAAGTTATTTGAAATTCTGCAAGAGAGATTTCCTTTATCGATTTAATCATTGATTTTTAGCAATGTGGACACACGAGTATATTTTAGACATTGAGTTGTAACTCAGCTACTGTGCTGGATTGCCCCAGTTTTGGCCACAGGGAGATCTTTAGTTGGTTCCCAGGGTCACCTTTGAGACCCACCATAATGTGGGATTTGTTTTTGTTTTTGAGCTCATCCTTACATCCTTTCACTTGTAAATAACCCAAAGGCCCTTAGAAGTTGACTTTAGGGAAACCAACAATACTCTTTCTCTCAGGTAATCAGGGAGGGGGCCTGGCATCCCTCCAGCAGGGGGTGAGGGCAGCATTTGGGGGTATCTGATTGAATGAGACACCTGCCTGGCCCTCCTGTAGTTTAGAATCACACAAATAATCATTGGTCAACTTTGGATTCAAACGCAAATCTGTCAGGCTCAGACCTGTTTGTTCTACCTGACCAAATAGCCACACAAAATAGGAGCCTTGGAGGGTAAAAACCTCCACAGAGCACCAAGCTTAACTCAGGCTTGCATGGGAGCTGTTCTCCAAAAGGAGAAACATCTTTTCATACTGTGTTTGATTAGATTCCACCTCGGGAGTTCCTCAATATGTACCACGGTGTTGTATTTTGTCTACAATCTCTATTCATTTAGCAAACACATTCTACCATATTGCTACTTTAGTTGCTGGGCTAATGTACATGAAACCAATCTAAAAGCTTAGGTACTCCAAAGCCTTCAAGTAAGTCCTGGGAAAGTGTGGGTGCTTCTCAATGGACCCGGACTTATCTAGTAGCAGAAACGCTGAAGCCCAGCCCTTTCTAAGTTTAATTTCAAGCTTTATCACTAAAGTAAAAGCGCTTCGTGTTTATGGATGGATGTTGGGGGGTGGCCGGTAGGGGTAAGGGCAGGCAGGCAGGCACACCCTTACACTGCGGGCATTCCTTTATTTATAGGACTACTTTGGGGAAACAGTTTTTATGGTGAAACCAATGTAGTTGGTCAAGCCTATTTAAAAAAAAAAAAAAGAAAGAAATAAAAGAAAATATCAGTTGTCATTAGGGTGCAAGAATGTTGCTTTCCTGAAGCCTTCTCTAGGCATATCTGAATGAATGTGAAAGATAATTATACACCTTTTTGGAGAATCGGAACTGTAAAGAGACTAAGGAAATCCGATTTTTTTTTTTTTTTGGCCTTTTAAAATTCACACTGAACTTCCACAGCTTATTGCTAGGATGTTTTAATCTTTAGGGAAATCGAGACAGGAAGGACGATTGGTGGAGCTTGCATAGAGGCCAGGAGCCATTTCTCTTGAACGGGGCATATAGCATTAAGTCGGTGAGCCAATTTGTTTGAGATACATTCCTTTACCCTCTCCTTCGCCAAAGCCAGCACTGGAGAGTTCTGAATGTCGATGCGGTCACAGGTCTTTGGGTTTCATGTTTTCCTCTCTGCGTTTTACTTGCGCAGTTTTAGAGCAAAATTAACCGAGCCTAGACAACGTCAGAGCAGTTTGGCTGGTTAAACCAAGCCCAGAGCATCCTCCTTGGTTAGTAGGTGGGTATAAAGAGAGGACCGAGGACCCTCATCATTGGACAGCGTCAGGAGGAAGTGGCCCCACTCCGAGGAAGGGAAGAAGGATATATAGCGGGAAGTCCATCGCATACGTCTCATAGAAACTTAGAACACTAAGTGCACCTTACCACACGGTGTTGGAGAGAAGGAACAGAAAGAACAAGGAAGCCTAACCCAGGAGCGCTCCAGCTTCCCGGCAGACGCATCCCAGCTAACCGACCCCTCCCCCCCGCCCCCAACCAGGTGAGCTGCCACCGCGCCTATCCCTTCCTCTCCCTCCTCCATGAACTTGGCAAGAGCTGGGCACCTTCGCTCCCCTCCGCAGCCCAGTCCCCTAAGCTCCGACCAGGATGAGGTTGAGATCGACGTGCTGGCAGAGGAGGAAGATGGAGACCAGACGGAGGACGACGAGAAGGCGGAGGAGATAAGCCAGAAGTGCCTGGAGCCGCCGCTGCCGGGGCCCGGAGCCCGCACGCTTCCCCGGAGGAGCGCGGGGGACCGCGGCAGCCTGAGCACCTCCTCGGGATTCATCCGTAAGTTCCGAGCGCCGCGGACAGCCGCGACCGCCGCAGCCGACGGCCCGCAGCCCGCCAAGCCGCCGTACTCCTACATCGCGCTCATCACCATGGCCATCCTGCAGAGCCCGCACAAGCGCCTGACGCTCAGCGGCATCTGCGCCTTCATCAGCGGCCGCTTCCCCTATTACCGCCGCAAGTTCCCCGCCTGGCAGAACAGCATCCGCCACAACCTGTCGCTCAACGACTGCTTCGTCAAAATCCCCCGCGAGCCCGGCCACCCGGGCAAGGGCAACTACTGGAGCCTGGACCCAGCCTCCCAGGACATGTTCGATAACGGCAGCTTCCTCCGGCGCAGGAAGCGCTTCAAGCGCCACCACCCGCCCCCGGGAGGCCCCCCGCAAGGCCCCTTCCCTCTGCCCGCTGTGCCCGCCACCCTGCACGTCTCCCACCCCAGCCTCCTGTTCCGCTACTCTGCCCCGCCGCAGCCTGGCCTCGGAGCCCATCCTGCCGCCCCGCCCGGGAGCCGCCCGTGCGCGCCGCTGCACCCGCATCCGCTCCGCTACCTACTGCTCGCCGCCCCCGCCTACGCCGAAGCGCCCAGAAAAGCCGAAGAGGCGGACCCGGCTACACCCCGCGCCATTCCCGCGCTGCAACCCGTCCTGGGTTCCCAGCCTTGGGACGGGGAGGAGGGCTCCGGATCTCGGCCCGGACCTGGGTGTACCTCGTTCACCATCGAGAGTATCATGCAAGGGGTGAGAGGAGGAGGAGGAACCGGGGCTGCTCAGAGTCCGCCCTCCGCTCCGTGGAGCTACTGCCACCTGCTGCAGCACCGGTCGTGCCTGCTGCACCCCCAGGCCGTTTCCCCTTTGCTGCAAGTGTCCGCTGCCGCCCGGACAATGCTGCAGCAGGAGCCTCAGCAGGAGCAGCAGCAGCAGCAGCACTGTGCCCGGAGCTGCGCTCCAGGTAAAGGCATGCGCCTGGGCCGACACCTGTCGGCCGTTGCGGCGCTGCTGAGGCATCAGCCTGCGGCCGAGGACTGCAGGCTGACAACTCTGGCCGCTCTTTCCGGCAGAGAGGGGACCTTGCCTGCATTTTAAACAACATCCGCGCCCAGCCTCCAGGCTGATTCACCCTGGCACACCTGGAGCCAAGTGGCAGGGTGGAACCACTCGCTGTCTGGGTTTGCACCCCACGCCTGCTAGGCTTGTGCGTGGAAAACCAGCAGCGGAGCATGCACTAAGTCCCGCCAAACTGTTACTACTGTGTTCTGCTCCCTTGGTGACCCGAACGCAGGGAAATCTGGGGGCTTCAAGTCTCGCTTGTCCGCTTCAGTTGTGGCTTCCTCGGCTTTTCCGATTTGCATACTTCCTGGGGACCTATGAACTATGAACGTGAGTGAGATGTTTCGTTGTTAATAAAAACAGAACAGCTGGCAACACAAAAACACTTCCCCCATCTTCATTCCCTAGGGACTGCAAGTGTTCCCCAGTCAAATGCAGAATGCGTACATGCTCTGATTCCCGAAATCCGTATGTAATATAAGTAGAACAATTTCGGAACGTTTATTTCTTGTATCTGTGGCGTGCCCTACTCCAGCGGGGAGTGTTAAAATTAAACCTAGTCATACAGATTGAATAAAATACTAAGTCGGGATGCTATATCGCTTGTTTCCTTTTATGTCTCTTTATTCGCTTTCATAAATGGAATTTCTTTTAAAACTTACATTCTTATCTAAAAATTCGTTTTCATGCCTTATATCCATTAAAAAATATCAGGAATGATACATTTTAAGTATGGACTTTAAAACTCCGAATATTTGTGTACGAAAAGTTTATCTTATGAAATAGTTTTTAATACTTATGAAACGTCTAGAAGGAACAGAATTCGAGTAATTAATACAGCCTCCATTCCGTCTCACCCCACCCATCACTTTCTTGTTTTGGTTTTTGAAAGGGGAGTTTCCGCAGTGTGCTTCTTCGTGGCCCAGAACCAGCGACCTTCCTATTTCAGCCTCCAGAAGTCTTAGCATGCCCCATCATGCCGAGTTTATTCGCTATTTTTCGAAAGTTGATTACTTTTCTGAGGCAAACAGGAGGATGACTGCAGATCAATTGGAAACAAAGCGCTTCTACTCTTGGAAAATAAACGGCTATTCGGTATATTTAAACAAATACTAGTATTTTCATGGCCTTTTCCTTAAAAAATAATTTCTGAGAGGCCTTTGCAACAGCAATTCAGCTTCAGGGTGCAGGGAAAACAAGACAATGCCCATCACCTACAGCGGCCAGAAAAGGCGGGATTTTAGAGGTTGGGTCCATCGTAAGCGGATTCTATAATTAGTGGCTTTGGGAGAGAGGTACTCTGAGTAGAGGAAATGGTTCGCACTCCCCACAACGATGTTCACATTTTTATTGCTTACACTCCATAGCCCAGAACTCCGCCCCATCTGCTGCCCCCACCCCTTCCGACTTGAGTGCTTTGTGGGACCTTCTGGAAAGTTCCTCAACTCAGACCTTGGTAGCTTTAAGCATTCAAGCAGGCAGCTCTCCTCCGCTTGGCCCCTGGCCCCTGGGTCCTCACATTACCAGCTCTTCGGTGGCCAGCGGCAGTCTGGGAGTTTAGAAGCAAATAAAAAAGATAACGGGCCTCTATCCCTCTTCTCCGCTGTGCTGTTCCGCTTTGCACTTTTTGTGCAAAGATGTCCCGAGCCTGGCCACCTTCAGGTATTCGGTTAACACTGCCTCCCCGCTGCCCCCGCGCTCTAGCCAACTCCGGGACAGGAATGCTTCCTGGCTGGGCTCCCTCGCACGGAATTCCCATTCCTTCCGCGGCGCCCAAACCCGGCCCAGCACGAGGATGAGCGACCAGACCCTGGCCCAGGCTCGCCCCTCAGTTGTAATGCTTCTCAAGTGAAACCATAACAAGACCAGACTTTCCAAGACCGTTGCTGGAATGGCGAGGTAAGATGAAGGTCGTTCCAGGAGTCCACTGGGCCAGAGCGCCCTGAGGACTGGGACAGCTCGAACCTCCTCCGGGTGCTACCTGCACTGCGCCCGCTCAGTTGGCAGAGGGGACCGTGCGGCAGTGGCGGCTCCTGAGAACCCGCAGCCGAGCCCGCCGGGCATCCTTGGAGCACTCGAGGGCGCGTGGCTGGAACGCAGCGTGCTCAGCCTGGTCACGCATACTGCCTCCTCCAGACCCACGGTAGCCCCAGCCCGCTGGTCTGGATTACACGTCTTGGGGTGGGTTTTAAAAACCATGTGGCTTCCGAGACCCCGAAGTTTGGAGGTCTGGTTGGGGACAGACTGACTGGGTGCGCCCAGAACGAAATTGAGTGCAGGCCATTCCCACCAGCCAAGGCGAGCAGGAGGGGACTGTCGCAGTCTCTGCCTTCCAGGAATGAATGACATACACCATTAGCTGCTCTCGGCCCCCTACTCCTGGTGCGCCAAGCACTAAATCCACAGCTGTACCTCGAACATTCACTGAGGAACACTCACTGTAGAAACGCAGGGTTTGCGGAGGAGAACTTTCCAACTAGGAGAAATTGTCTCCTAAGGACTTCCAGGTGGCACATGTAGTTTCTAAACCTTGAACTCTTCACGAACGTGTGGCCTCCTGCCCCAGCCTTGGGGGGGGGGCGGGGCGGGAGGAGGCCTCAAGGTCAAGACCAGGAGCCCACCAGGTCACTAGAACCGAAGCAGCTAGGAAGGAATCAGGAAAGAATTCAAGGAGTGACTTTGTTCTAGTTCCTCCTGGCGGTCCCTAAGAACCTGGAGCCCTGGAGTAGGAGAGATTTTTCCAACACTCAACATGCAGGCCCAGAGCCACCTCCTTCCGGTAGTCTTTGGCCATGGGAGCAGTCCCCAAAGTCACTTGCTCTCCTGTCGGCTGCTTGCTGCTCAGGACAGGGAATCCGGGTGTTTTGAAACATGCCTGGAAGAAAGCTTGAAACGGGAGCGGGCCAGCGTTCGAAGGTACTGTTTCTCAAGTGCCTGGTCTTTATCCCAGATGAAAGACCTGCTTATCGAGCTTAGGATCCTGAGAGCGGTTTCATCTCTAGATGCAATATCAGCCACTCCTTTGGTTTAGATTCTGCGACAGACAATCTACAGCGGCACCAGAAACGAGGGGCAAACTCTGGCCTCAACAGTGTTAAGGCTGGCAGCGAGATGAAACTAATGGTGTCTTCTAAGATGGGATCTGTGGGAGACTGTTGAGCATTTACAGAGAATATTCAGGAAATTTTTCCGACATCAGCATACGATTACAACCTACACGAAAATGTTGCTTGAATTGCTAATGTCACTTTGTAATTTTTAGTCTTAATAGCTGCCCCCCCCCACATCAGCCCTAAGATGATTTCAATGCTTTGTAAGCGTTGGTTGACTTCCTACGTGCAAGCACTAACCGAAAAGAATTCATGCAGGTGACAGCTAATCATACCCAAATTGACTTCCCACAGAAGAAAAACTTACAGGCAGGAAAAGAGCCAACATCTGAGACCACAATGTGAAATTCACGTCCACCTTAGTTCCCTCTGCTCAGCTCCCTTAACAAGCTGAGGTACCTGGGCGGAAACCCCAGCTCCTTTTCCACAGGGTACAGGCACGTGTCTCTGGCAGTCAGTGACTAAGAATGTTTTAGGACAGTTGTGACTTCCGTACAGTGAAGCAGTTTCTCTTCCCCAGCCCGGCAAAGAAAAGAATGAGGCTAAACGAAGTCTAAGAGGTACGAGTTTTTCTGTGCATAGCTGTGAGTCTATTTAAGGCAGTACTTATGACCCATAGGTTATAAATTATGGTGACCATTATTACTATTCGTGACATTTTTCTTTCTCTCTTTCTCTTCCTCCTCCTCCTCTTCTTCTTCCTCCCCTCCCCTTCCCCTCCCCACTCCCCTCCCTTCCCCCTCCCCTCCCCTTCCCTTCACAGCAGCCCTGACTATAATTTTAGGGGGGGGGGGAGCTTTGTGAATCTGTTAAGTTTCGGGGGCTTCCTGAGGCTTAGGTGACCTCACTTTAGAACTTCCTGAGTCCTAGGGAGCCTCCAGAATGTTTCAACTCAGAGAAAATGACTACACAACCTCATAACTTCCTGGAAAATCAGTTTCCTCCTCTCTGGAATGGGCACACATCAACCTCAGTACATCCTTCACACAGTCATGTGACATTCAGATGGGATAATGGATGTGAACAAATCTTGTAAAATAGCACATTAAAAACAGAGATAATTTTTTTCTTTAGGACATCAAAGGGTTCCTATGATTACCTTTGTGATCTGTCTCTGACGCAATGGGCTACAGCAGCCCAGGCAAGGAAGCCACCCTTCCCAGAAGTCAACATCATCACCAGGAGCCCAGATAAGAGCCCAGAAGTGAAGGCTGCAGGGATGGGGGTGGTGGTGGGGGGTGGTGGTGACCAGGAGCTCCCCTCACAGGGCACCTTTCTCCCCTGAGACAGCACCCCCAAGAAGGAAGCAAGTCTCTGGAACGTCAGTGTTCCCATCTTTAAGTTGAAGAAACGGGCAGTCTGTAGCCCAGTGGGGAGCCCTTGCATAGGATACACAAGGTCCTGGGTTCAGGCTGGTGGGAAGGGTCAAAGGTCAAGCTACTGTGAAGCTTAGAAAGGAGATAGACTTGGCTTATTAGAGAAGAAACCTGTCCTCCAGGCTTTCTGCAGCCGGTGGGGAGGGGTGCAGGCTCACCTTATTTCAGTGTTGGTAAAAATTAGGGTTTGGGCATATGTAATGAGTTGTGCCTGTAAATCACAGCATGTGGGAGGCAGGCATGGGAGGGTTTAAGGCCAGTCTGCATAGCAAGGCTCTGTCTCTACCAACAAACAGAAAACAGGCTAAGGCTGTGGCTCCGTTAGTAAAGCTCTTGCCTGGCATATAGGGAACCCGGGTTCGATCCCCAGCACCTCATAAACCAGGAGTGGTGGTGCACACCTGTAATCCTGGCATTTGGGAGGTAGAGGCAGGAGGATTAGGAGTTTAAAATCAGTTAGTTACACAGAGGCCAGCCCAGGCAAAAGATACAAATCAAAACCTCAAAGCCTAACCAACCAGAACAACAAATATGTCCTGCTAACACGGACTGTGATTTCCATCACAATAGCCTTGAATCATAACACAGACCTCTGCGGTAAGGACAGTTATTGTTCCTGTTTCTTGGCCCATGGCGATCTGGTGGGTCATTTACACGCTCCCACCCCAGCCCCTCCCCCAGCCTTACTCAAGAGGTCTTGTTTATGACAGCAGAATGCCCTTGGGAAAGGAACTGCTAAACTCACGATAGGATCTCAGGACGACACACCACACTAAACTGGACTCGCAGTTCCCAGAGGCGGTGAGAATTGTGGGCAACGGTCTCCAAAAGCCTGCTTTTGGACACCCCTGTTCCCTAGCTCCCCTTCAACGTTCAGCAGGGCACTGCTGGGCGTGGTAGCACAAGCCTACTACCCCAGAACTCAGACAGAGAGG